AGAATTACTATGTACATATGTTGTATTTATGAGATACATACAAAATAAAAATAAATTTTAAAAATTCAAGGACTTCAACTCTGGAGGAAGAGAGGAAACAAACTCTTGATGGTTAACCACCTTCAAACATATCCCTGTACAGAATAATGACACCAACTTACTTCCCCATGCTTCTTTGGCTTTTGTTACTGTCGCCTGCATATAGCTTGGTCTCACTTGCATGGACCTTATCTCATCCAGGCTCTTGCACTCCCCATCAACCCTCCTAGTGCCTAGGTGTACAGTTGCACTCTCCATGAGTCCAAGCCTCTGAGGCACTCACTTTTAATACATTCCCAGAGGTGTTCTCCCTGTCCTGCACTAGATCCCAGTGGTCCAAGGCACTCTGAGAACCACATTGAAAAGTCAGGAAAGACTGGCCTCTTCTAGCAACTCAACTGCCTCCCAAGTGATAGTAAAACAATCAAGTGTTAACAAAGAGCTGCTTGGAAGTACATGCCACCCAGAATTCTGCATCGTGAGCAGCATGAGGCTAGGAATTAATAATTGTGAACAATTATCACAGAAACTCTCCAGGAAAAACGATCAAGTTTTTAGCATTCAACCTTGGGAAGATAAAAATCGGACTTAGCAGAGAAAGACAAATTATCTAAGAGCTAATGCAGGACTTGAAAACCAAAGAGCATCATGAGGGTTGATTATACCATCTGCCTTGTCTCTCTATCCCAAAAAAAGGCAGTGGGGAGGGGACACCATTTCCATCCAGTCCATCAACCAAGTCAGAATCTTATGCTCATCCTAGATCTCCCCAACACCTCCTGGTCCTTATTCCTCTCCATTGTCAATTTTGCCTCCCTGTGGGTCTCTGCTCAGACTCTGTGTGACCTGTTGAGATCCTCTTTGTATGTCCTGCCAGTCACCTTTCTGCTCTTCCTCCATCCAACAACCCACCTACCCTTGTTCTAGCCCTGCTTCTAAAAATCATAAACCTCATCATATTTGCCCTACTTAAAAACTATCAATAAGCAAGAATTGCAAAATTTTTATTGTTAACCTTGGGTGATAGGAACCTGGAAGGGTATTTTATTACTCTCATTACATTTGTGCATTTTTGAAATTGCTCATAGTAAAACAAATCTTCAACAGATATACAGGGATATCAAGATACAGTATCAAGTCCCCAGACTGGCATTCAAGTCCCCTCAGGATCTGCCCCTACCCAGTTTGAAAATCTCACCTCTTTGCACTTTCTACGCTGCAGGCTCTATAGTTCCCCAACCTTGGACTCAGCTCTTTCCTGCAAACCTATCTTTGCCCATGCATCTTCTTCTTACAGAACACCCTTCTCCTGCCTTCCTGCCTAAAAATCCTTCCTCATCCCTTGGAAACCCAATGCAAATGACCTTGATCTGGTATATTTTGCTACCTTCAGAGGAGTGGAGTGCCTTATGAACAAGGCCCTCTCTGACCTCATATATAGCAAGCCCCCGATGTGTGTTTGGGAGAGACAGGAATGTCTTAGTTAATAGAACAGGTGCAATATTTACTTGAACTTGGATAAATAATCTGTCTTTGCTTTGCTTCTGCTTCTATAAAATGAAGATAATAGCAGCACTTATCTCACAAGGCTTGGGTAATGATTCTCCTGTTTTCTCTGTGTAAACAGCTTAACACAATACTTGGAAAAGAGAGAGACAGAAACAGAGGCAGAGACAGGGAGAGAGAGAGACATGTAGAGAGAGAACAGAAGCTGACTATACAGGCAGACTTCAATCAAATAACACAGAGCATAATTATGCAGCTCATTTTAGATGAAACGCTCCCAAAACCCACAGGAAAGACAGTGCTGTTAAGCTCTTCCCAGAAGTTGAAGTAATTCGTGGAAAATCGTTGATATCAAAATCACGATTCTTCTCTGGGGCCCAAGAACAGCTTATAACTTGGGATGTCTTCAGAGGTCAAGGCCTGAGTCCTGGGCCCTCCTCTTTGAAAGGATGTGCAGATATGTGTCAGAGACGTCGCTCAAAATCTAAGGCCTAAGAGGGCACGAGATGTGCACGAAAATCAGCCCTGATGCCAATCTCCAAATGTGTGAACTCCTGGCACCCGGGATGGGATGCAGGCGGAGAACATCTGAGTGGGGTTGGATGCAGCGCCCCCCGCCCACCAGCCTAGCTCCTCTGGGCGCCCGCAGCCTCGTGCGTCACCAGCGCGGGCGGGGGCAGAGGGGAGGGAGGTGCCGCAAGGTGAGGGCACCGCGCTGCCTTAAGACGCCGCGCGCCCCCGCCGCCACTCAGAGCTTGCAGCGCGGCGCGCCGGCCAGACGTGTGGGCACAGGCGTGGTGCCCCGCTCTCGCCACGTCCGCTGCCCGGTGCGAGCCCGCAGCAACCGGCACCCTGAGAGGCTGCCGGCACTAGCGCAGAGAGTCCGGAGGGACCCAGAACGCAGCACCTGCCGCGCGAGGGCTTCAGCAGCAACAGGTAAGCGACCGGGCTCTCCACCAGGAGCAGTGGTTGCCAGCGCCCAGCGGGGCCCTGACGTCCGGGTCGCCCCTTCTGCAGCTGCCCGACGGCGGCTGAGCGACTTGGCACTGGAGCCGGCGCTGAGGCCCCTTCTCGCCCTGTCCTGGCCTTCCTGTCGACCTTGTATTTTCCCTTGCACTTTGGCTCATGCTTTCTCCCCTTTCTCTTCTCTTGGGTTTTGATCATCTTACTCTTTCCTTTTCTGTCTCTATTTCTCAGGCTTGCTATTCGTTGTTTTCTGTCTCTCTCATTGTGTCTCCTCCTTCTCTTTCTGCCTCTCATTCTCTAGCACTCTCAGTCTGTCTCTCTCTCTCTCTCTCTCTCTTCCTCCCCCTCCCCCATACCCATCGCTCATTCTTTCTGTCTCTGCTTCTCAGTCTTCCTCACCATGGCCTTGTTAGACCCCACCACCACCCGGCAACCTTCTGCCGGTCTCTCTGAGCCTCCGGCTCCTGCCGCCGCTGTCAGTGGGCTGACCGGGGAACGCAGGGAGGATGTCGAGTTGCAGGCGGTTAAAAGCACGCCAGAGCATCCTCCCCGCATTCTCCGCCTGCTGCGGCGCTCCTGACAAACAGGCGTTTTATCCGCCACAGCCCGCGGTGGCCACGGCGGCAGCTGCTTTCTCTGGCAAAATAAAGTCCACAGAGAGACAGAGATCCAAAAGAGACAAGAGATCCAGCCAGAGGAAACCCGAGGTAAGGAACCCTCAGAGAAAGATGGAGAGAGGTAGAGATGCATAAACAAAGATACGGGGAGAGTTCAGCAAGGGTGTCAGGTGATAAGAATGAGACGCAGAGAAATCAAGTAGAGAGCGCTTGCACCAAAGACATGGCTTGAGAAACAGAGAGACAGAGACAGTCGGGTAGACAAGGAAGGGAAGGAGAGAAGCATGAACGGTGAAACAGACAACTTAGACACAGAAAGAACTCATGGAAAAGACAGGGAGTGACACAGAGACCAGAGAATCTGAGACACACAGAGGAAATGTGCACGTGCTGTGAGAGATGGAAGGAGACGGAGAACCCGAAGGAGACATGGAAACAAGAGCATCGGAGAGACAGAGAGACACACACAGCGAGGGACCACTGCACAGGTGTGCTAGGGACCCACTGAGATGGACTGTTGGGGAAACCGACTGAGAGAAATGAAGAGATGAGCGCACTGGGGAAAGACGGAAAAGCAAGTGACATAAACGGCGACAAGTAGAGACACAGAGAGACAAGAGCATATCAGAAAGAGATAGAGATACGGATAGGACTGCGAGAAAGATGGGAGGAGGTGGGAGGAAGGAGGGTCACACGCGCGCGCACTCACACACACACAGAGAGAAAGAGGGAGGGAGGGAGGGGGGAGAGAGAGAGAGTGTGTGCAAGGAGGAGATGCGAGTGACAGAGTCAGGAAAGAGAACGACCAGGCAGCGAGAGGCAGCGGGCACGTGCTATCGAGAGACTAAGAAACAGACATACCACAGAGACAAGGAAGAGGCGGTGTCAGCGGAAACGGTGAGACGCATGCATGTACTTTTCGAGAGAGCGAAAAAGTGCGCTCGCGACAGACTCGAAGACAGGTACAGGGGACTACCGTAAACACTCAGCGGCACACGGCGCATGCGCCAGCGCTAGCGAACGCGCGCTACCTGGAGAGACCAAAATTCTGAGACCCAGAGACAGCGTTCGAGATGCGCATAGAGGATGGGCGCGTGCCCGCGGGAGAGACAGACGAAAAGAAATTTAGAGACCAGGAGAGAGACAGACCCAGAGGGCCAGAGAATGAGCCAAAGAAATTACGCAGACTATGGGGGGCGGGCAGACGCCTAGGAACGCTCCGGACCAGGGCGGCTGGGGATTGGGGGGTGGGGGGTTGCAGCGCCTCCTCTGAGCAGGAGGCTTCTCCACTCACCCAAAGGCTAACCGCTCCCCCCCCCCTTCCCCCGCTTGTTTCTTTCATCCCCAGAACAGGCACTCAGTGTGGTCAGTGCAGTTCTCTGCTGCCCCGCCGGTGCCCGCCCTGAGCCTGCACCCTGTCTCACGTTAGCCCGCTGTCGCCATGACATCCACCTGTACCAACAACACGGGCGAAACCAACAGCAGCCACACGTGCATGCCCCTCTCCAAAATGCCCATCAGCCTAGCTCACGGCATCATTCGCTCCAGCGTGCTGCTTATCTTCCTCACTGCCTCGTTCATCGGCAATGTAGTGCTGGCACTTGTGCTGCAGCGCAAGCCGCAGCTGCTGCAGGTGACCAACCGCTTCATCTTTAACCTCCTTGTCACTGACTTGCTGCAGATTTCTCTCGTGGCCCCCTGGGTGGTGGCTACCTCCGTGCCTCTCTTCTGGCCTCTCAATAGCCACTTCTGCACTGCCCTCGTTAGCCTCACCCACCTGTTCGCCTTTGCCAGCGTCAACACCATTGTCGTGGTGTCGGTGGATCGCTACCTGTCCATCATCCACCCTCTTTCCTACCCGTCCAAGATGACCCAGCGCCGCGGTTACATGCTTCTCTACGGAACCTGGATTGTGGCCATCCTGCAAAGCACACCCCCACTATACGGCTGGGGCCAGGCTGCCTTTGATGAGCGCAATGCTCTTTGCTCCATGATCTGGGGGGCCAGCCCCAGCTACATGATTGTCAGCGTGGTGTCCTTCATCATCGTTCCACTGATTGTCATGATTGCTTGCTACTCTGTGGTGTTTGGTGCAGCCCGGCGTCAGCATGCTCTGCTGTACAACATCAAGAGTCACAGTTTGGAGGTGCGGGTCAAGGACTGTGTGCAGAATGAGAACGAAGAAGGGGTGGAGAAGTCTGAGTTCCAGGGTGAGAGGCATTTTCACCACCAAGATGAAGGTGAGGCCAAGGCCAAGCACGGCAGCATGGAGACCGAAGAGGGTAGCATAGAAACCAAGCACTGCAGCATGAGGGCCAAGGAAGGAAACACGGAGACCAATAAGAGTAGCTTGGAGGCCAGTGAGGGCAGCATGGAGGGTCAGGAAGGTGGCAGTGAAGTTGAGGTGAGCAGCACTAAAGCAGACAAGGGCTGCACAGAGGTCAGCCAGTGCAACATTGACTTGGGTGAAGATGACATGGACTTTGGTGAAGACGGCATCAATTTTGGTGAGGCTGATGTTGAGGCAGTGAATATTCCAGAGAGCCTCCCACCCAGCCGTCGAAACAGCAACAATGACCCTCCTCTGCCCAGGTGCTACGAATGCAAAGCTGCTAAAGTGATCTTCCTCATCATTTTCTCCTACGTGCTATCCCTAGGGCCTTACTGCTTTCTAGCAGTCCTGGCTGTGTGGGTGGATGTCCAAACCCAGGTACCACAGTGGGTGATCACCATAATAATCTGGCTTTTCTTCCTGCAGTGCTGCATCCACCCTTACATCTATGGCTACATGCACAAAACCATCAAGAAGGAAATCCAAGATATGCTAAAGAAATTCTTCTGCAAGGAAGAGCCCCCAAAAGAAGACAGCCACCCAGATCTGCCTGGAACTGAAGCTGGCACAGAGGGTGGAACTGAAGGCAAGGTTGTCACTTCCCATGATTCTACTATCTTGCCTTGAGCAAACCTTGAACTGTTCACAATACAGAAAACACAAGCAGCTTTCTTTTCAATGAATTACCCACAATCCTATTAATGCCAACCCATACCATTCTAGGCAAAGATGTTGTGCACACATCGTTTTCACCAGAAGGTAGATAAGTACATGTAGGAAGTAGGAACTTGCATCTTCCCTTAAGGGTATGCCCTTGAAAACGTGGACTTGAATTTCTTACTGAAATTTTCCCCTAAAAAATTATTAGGCTCTAAATTTCTTCAAGCAACAAGGGCTAGCCATTTTGGATCTATGCTTGGTATTCTGTCTGTCTCCCCAGGGCTATATCGTGCCTGCTTTAATTCTTAGGGAAAGGGAAGATGATGTTTGTGAACTTATGGACTTTTGGGCCCTCAGGTTGGCCGCTCAAGGGCCAGGGCCACAGTTCAAGTTCAACTGAGAGAAGAGCAATGGATCAAGTCATTCGTGGAGTCCAAGAAGCAGAACCTGACAGACTGATCAATGCAGGAGCCAAATTCTAAACTGAGAAGCCCTACAATGTGATGCAGAGACTATTGTGCAAACTGAAGCAAATGAGTGTTGTGCAGTTAGAATACAAAGAAAGTTTCTTGATCCCCTAAAGGGATCCAGAATAGTAAAAGGGCATTTATGGAATGGGAAGCCAGCCCAAGGGAGAAAATACAGAAATAACATATATCCATGGGGCTAAATTGTTGATTTCTTTTTCCTATGAAGTAATGGGTTTATGCATGAGCTGGGACTCAAGTCACTCCATACAAATGGAAAAATTGCCAATTAACACTAAATTATGTTCTAGCTCCTATCTAAATAATAGTGGGACAGAAATTGTGCCACTGTTTTACAATTTCCTCTTTGTGACTGAATTGAGATGCTCTAACAATCCTCCAGATCTCTGCCAATCGCTTGTGCTTTGCTTTGTTCAAATAGGCCTTTCTGGTAAAACAGTATTTCCAGAAGAAAAAGGAATTCAACTAAGAGCAGCCAAAGCCCTACAAAATTCACACTGCCAATCAAGAGTATTGTGCCAATCAGAAATCTTTTTTGTGTCTGTGAGGATCAAGTAAGGTACCATGAGCACTTTCTGTCCTCCAGGCTCACCCACAGAGATCCTTTCCACCTCTGGCACTCTCTTAAGCTATTAAAGCTCTCTGTAGATGTGGGAGAGAAATATAAAAGAGTCAGAAATGACAGATAGGATGGTTTCACAATACCTGGAAAACATCTGATCTATTCCAAACAATTCTAAAGTCAAAGCATTCAGGTCAGACATGTCTTAATTATTGCTGTTAAAATGTATTGCTTTGAGGAAACCTTTACAATATCTAATGATCCCTAGTGTCAACACCAAGGAAGATTTTTCAAATCCCAGGACCTAAAATCACTCTAAGCAGGGATAGATCTGTGTATTCCTGGGGGCACAGGCTACATCTACAGAATGAAACAACATGGATCCAACAAACAGTCAAGTCTGTTTCTACTCCTCCTGCAATTTTCCAGTAACTGCCAGTTCATGCAGAAATCCACTGTGACTAGGGGTGGAGTGGGGGAGGGGGAGTGTTGAGTTGAAAAAATGGTTAATGAGGCCACTCTAGGTAAAGATGGTCATATTTGAAGTTTAGCCTCATTCTTGTACAATTACCAGGTCTTTGTTAGAGCTCAAATTTCATTCATATATATATACATATACATATACATATATATATGCCCAGCTCATTTCTATTTTTGTCTATCCCTCATCACAGATTCCAACATGAACTTCTCAAGGGGGAGAGATAAATAGCAATTATATTGGGTCTGTAAATAAGTCTGTATGGGAATTTGGGATAGCCATATTCAGAATTTAGGAAAGAAGAACCAAATAATATTGAGCTGACCTGCCAAATCAAGATGTCTGTGAAAACCTTTACAAGTACAACTCCATTAATTTGGAACTTGTGTTAATTCAGAAAAGGCGTGGGGGTTGAAGTTTGCTTTCACACTATTATTTTTCTATGAGAATGTACAAAGCAAATTAATTGTCCTAAATGTATTATACCGATATATTGCCAAGCTTTTATGTTGATCTGTCCTTAAAGGATATCTGGATGAAGAAATGTGATCAGTCTTTTTGTTATGAGATGGGTATTGCCTTGCAGGTTCTTCGTGGTTGAAGATTTCAAAGTAGCTACTTCATGCTGTTTGAGTAGAAGTGCTTGTCTGGGGTAGAAAACAGGATTTCAAACAGAAGTCTCTCCATACATTTTGTTGAAACTGAACTTCTTGTTTTATTTTTAAAGCTCAACCCCTTCAAAGTGTGTCAGAGAAAATTGTTTGCCAAAATCTCAAATCAGAATGGAACCAGAACCTGTACGAGTGTGGTAAGTCCATTTCACAGCACACCCAAACATTGTGCCGGGTACCAAAACTCACCAGTTTCCTTCTTAAAGTTCCTCTTTCCCTTATTTTATTTAATCACCCATTATTTTGGCAAATCTGATTCTTCAAACATTAAGACCTTTAGAAAATAGGAAAGTGGAAAAGAGGACCTTTTAATTGAGGGCATTCTGCTTTGAGGACATTTTCTCCTTAATGACTATGGCCTCTGGTTATCCTGGAGATAGCTGTTGCTTCAGATTTTGGGCTATTTTGAATACAGCACTATCGACTTAATGAGGTTTTACTGCACATACTGTTTTTGCTATTTGAAAATCTGAAAGTACTCAAAAAAATCATCAGTACCTTCACAGATTCTCATGTGCAATAGCTTTTCCTAAATGTTTTTAAAGGATGTATTATTTAGCCAAGGCCACTTCATGTGTGCAGTAAAAAATCCCATTAAAGTGCGAGGTCCAAACAAGCCAGATTTTGAAAAGGTGTTATTTTAAGTTTAACGATTTCTTTATTTAAGAATAATAGAGCATCTAGTTTGCCAAGGAGTCACAGGTGCTTTAACCAGCACACTAATTTCAATAAGCATGGGACGGCTTAATAAAGAGCAAGCCCTAGGCTTCTGTGACTTCTCTTATGCCAAGGTCCATCTTCTCTAGGATACCACAAACGCCAGCTGCTGCGTACGAAGTCCTCTGCACTCCGAGCTCCCTGCCTACCTCTTGCCATCAGACCCACTGTCTTCCCCTGCCTCACTCCTCTTCCCACTGTTGTGTTGGCCCTTCAGGATACCCTGTGCTTACAGTTCTGTGTGCTTACCCCCTCCCCATCCATCCCTTTCAAACCTAGAGCTAATAGATTCACAGGGACCTGGGGGCAAAAGGAAACAGGGAAGGAGAGAAGTGAACCATAGAATTGATCAGCAATTAAAGGGATTTTTCTGTCTCCTTTCCAACTGCAATCAAAGATAACAGGATACCTACTTCAAATTCTACAGGCAAGGTAAAGTGCCATTTTATGATTTTGGAGGAGGTAGGCACCTCATTTCTAACCAAAAATCATCTGACAGAATACATCTTTGGGAACACATTCAATTCTGTAGATAATTTCCAATGATTTCAGAAAAAAAAAAAAACACTAAAAAAACTTTCACATATGAAATTATAAGGTGCCTAATATTGCCTTATCTTATACATAATGAGCCAATGACACTAGGTTGAAGTTATTTAACAAGAAATCTTTTGTACTACCAGAAGAATAATTTACAAGCTGAAACTAGGCTTTCTTTCTTAACTACCAAAAAGCTCTTAAAAGTATCTGAAACACACCTTTTGGAAGAGAAAAATAATTATGCATCATCTGGTAATTTAAACTCTTTAAGATAAAATTCTCAGGGGGTATTGGGGTGAAACAAAAAGTATCAATTTAAACCACTGAACTGTATTTTTCTCTTATACCCACCCTCCCCCATATTTTGAGAGAGAAAAAAATCAACCTCTTAATGTCTTTTCTGTTGTATTCCTCTTTAAGACAAACCCGATGCTGTCAAGAGAGATTGCTCAAAGGAAAATGTCTTTTCCTTCTGGAGCAGATAAAAGATTAGAGGAACAGTTGGCTACTAGCCAGGTACCAGATAAGGAGAGAAAATTTGGTCAGTCATGCCTTTTAACCTTCTCCCTCCTTATCTCTGTCTCTCTCTTATTTTCTGTGATCTGGACCAGCGCTCTTGGCCTTTCAATGCCCCTCCAAGCTTAGACATGAGGAGGCAGAAGCAATGAGCTAGAAACAGTAGCCTAAAGCCCCAAAAGAAGAGAAACCCTTGTCATAAATTCTTTCTGATTATGTACAATCTCTTCCTCTATGGCAAATGCTCAGCCTGCTTACAGCAGTCTTCTGTTGTAAGTGACAAAACTGACTGGAGGAAGAAATGAGAAAGCTCAAATCCACTGAATTTGGCCTCTGTCTGCCAGGTCACTGGCAAGTTTACTGCACTTTGGTAAGTAAAGAATACTCAAAGTAAATGAAGGTTTCCAATCGGAGTCAGGTGTTTCCATCATTGCCACCCAAAGCCTCTGTATCTCAGAGAACACACACCAAATCACAAGAACTTGTACACTCACCGGAGATTTGCTTTGTCTGGGATTGTATTTCATTTGTTCTAAAATATAGACAGAAACAAGATTGCTTTTAGTTTGGTGCTTCAAACTTGAGTGGACTTTCCCCCATCTTCACCTGTGTTATAACTTTGATGTTAAAAATTTGATATTTAAGTCTTGTTTCAGTGGTGTGTTCCTTTTTGTAGTAATTTTCCTAAATGTAAGCTGTAACTGTATATAAAATATGTGTTCTTGGAGATAAGGTGCTAGATATTAGACTGTATATGTGTTCCTAGATATTATCATCCTCAAAAAGTGGTAGTCTATACATGTAAAATTAGTTTATAAAATGCATGCGAAATTTTAAGTGTGACCCACACTCCAGTCAATTTCTGAAGTAGAACATAGTACATTTGTTCTGTAAATTATATTTTTGAAGTGTATACTACAGGATCTATAAAGTGGCTTCAACATGGGGTGGCAGGAAGTGGTGCCTTTCATTCTTTAAATCCTTGGTACAATATATGGCAGGTGAGCACTTATTCTGATATAACTGATCATTAATTTGAGCTAATTCTACTGGCTGAAGTCCTGGCTGGTGGTTCTCCACAACACATTTGGCACTAGTATGCATGTTTTCCATTAACTAAACATAAAGAATGCAAAATCAAAGAAGACAATCCTGTCTCCCATTAAAAAACAAGCACCCCAGGATAGGCTGTTGGAGTCCTGTTTGCAGAATGAAATGAATACTGCTATCTCAAGACCCAACCAGTAACCAGTACTTAACCATGAACTGACAGGATTTGCATTTAGCAGATCCATATTGCAACCCTCCCTGCCCTCCTGGTGCAGTGCCAAAACCCAGAAAAATACTGCTCTGGGTGTTTTTGTCCAATTGGTTGCTTGTCTGAGGCTTAAGCTGCAGCATGAATGTGTAAATAGATAAAGAGGTAGTGGGACTCCTCTGGGGGGGTTGTAGCCAAGGTGATTAAGAAGTATAATTGTATATCAATGATATTTGCATCAGAGAAGAAAAGATGTGATTGTATTATATTTAAAGAACCAAAATATTACACTAGAAATATATAGACATATGTATGTACACCCTCATTCAGTCACTTCTAAAACTGCCTTTAATACCAAATTTTATGTACTGCTTTGAGACTGAAAGCAATAGGAAAAAATGCATTCAGTCAATAAACAGTTCTCTTTAATATTTTAAGCTTTGAATTGAAAAGTTTCCTTTTCCTTTTAAAACAGGCTTTGTAATTTAAAAGTGCCTTTTCAAAGGATTGTCAAAGAGCAATCCGGGGAGCCATGTTCCCATTGGCACAACTTACCTTCAGGTGCACAAAGGGAGTGGGTTTTATCCTCCTCCCCTCAGCAAGAAGAGAAACTCCCTCTCACCCCAGTCGAATTCATGAATCAATACTGTTACATGGGCCAACTGGCCCAGAGACTCTGCCCAAGGCATTGGTTTTATATATTGGTTGGCTTTAATGGGATCCTATCTAAAGTAGTTACAACACATTTTTTTTTTTTTTTGGACAGGAATAACAGACTCATGCTTGGGGAACACAGAGAGATTGATGTTTGTGGTTTAACTAAATATTACTAAGTGATGTTTGTGTTTCTTTAATAGGTGCTGTTAATCTGTCCTTGATATATTCTTCTGAAATATACTAAATAAAGTCTAATTTTATGTGTGAATCTGGTCATTATGTTGATTTCCTTGAGAAAACAGTGATGGAGAAAGAAGGAAGAAAGGGAATATCATGTTCTCAGAACTGTTTCTATGTACTATATTGAACCCATGGAAGACTAAAAATATAAAATTAAAAAAAAAATTGAGGGAGACGTGATTAGGTATTCATCCCTTCTTTTGCCTGAATGGAGTAGAGAGGGGCCAAACAACTCACTGAATTACATGATAGAAGGAACTGTGCAAGCTCCAATATTTCACATACCAATATTCTAATATGAGGAATATGCAGTGAGATGGAGGGGGCAGTCATCAGCAAAGGCTAGCTGGAAGAGGAGCATTTGCTTGGTCCTCTATGAATGAAAAGGATTTCAAAGTGAGAGGGGAGTCGTCACAGAGGAAACATGAGGCCAGATAGTTTGTGGGGTTCTCAAATGCCAAGCTTCCTTCCAAAAGCAGTGGGATTTGAGCAGGAGTGTGGTGAAAATAGCCTTTGCTTTTACGAAACAGTACTGCCAAGCACCCAGGTTACCTCTACTGGGTTCCAACCTCTACTAACCCAGGATACTTCCCTCAGCACTATTCAGCCTAGCTCAACCTAGCTCCCTACAACCACCTCAGGTCAGCCCCAACTTATCAGGCTTCATAGACCAGGAGGGCAGGAGACTGGTCCCTCAAGTCCCAGTTTCTGAAAAATACTTATACCTCTAATGCAGCCATTACATATAAAACCACAGTATACAGATGAGATGAGCAAGTAAGTCTAAAACTTAAGAACTCTTAGTTCCTCTTGAACCAAAGTACTTGACCTACTAGTGGTTTCTCTTCCAATACTCTTATAGATAGTGGTGTAAGGAAGTACACGCCTCACATGCTTCCAAAGTGGTATTTCAGGGCCCACATGTAGAGACTTGGGGAGCTATTCACACCCATTTTAATCAAAATAAAGTGCTATTTTCCATTTCTCCAAAATCAACCTAAACAGACTTCTACACTATTTCAAAATGTTCAAACATGGCTGCCATGAAACCTGCATATGGTTACCTTCACATTAATATGGGAATACCATTTAGCAATGATTTTATTTCCTGCTACAGAAATAAATTTGCATTTCTAGCAAACTACTACCATCAATGCAAATAAAGGCCCTCGGGAGCTCAGATAAACGTATCATGCTGCCAACCTGGTGAAAAAAGAGTTCCCTTAAGCTCAATATACCACTATTTAGTTCAGAGTATTTAGGAGAAAATGGAATGGGTGCCAGTGAGCCTCACAAAAGCAGTTTCTCCTCTCAGGCAGAGCTAAAGACCCACCTTAGATTATAAAATCCAATGGGAAAAGGTTTAAAGGACCTGCAACTCTCAAGTCAAGTGATAACGCTGTATCTTCTGTACCATTCCCATGCTTATCACTGTGTTTTAGGCCCCGGGTACATTTGCTATCAGCCATAGTCCTGGTCCTTCCAATATAGACAAGGTGTACTAGTGGCAAATTATTATTTTCCTCTTTCATGGAGCAACTATTTAACTCCTACTCCCCTCTCTTACTCCCTCACTTAAATGTGACCCTCTGACCCATCCCTCCTCATTCCAATCTTCCCTCCAAGGGCCACACAATTTCTTGATCCCTGCACACACAATGAAGTACTCTTTAACTTTAGGATGTTTTTTAAAATGCTCATGAATGGGCCGGCGCGGCTCACTAGGCTAATCCTCCACCTAGTGGCGCCGGCACACCGGGTTCTAGTCCCGGTTGGGGCGCCAGATTCTGTCCCGGTTGCCCCTCTTCCAGGCCAGCTCTCTTCTGTGGCCAGGGAGTGCAGTGGAGGATGGCCCAAGTGCTTGGGCCCTGCACCCCATGGGAGACCAGGAAAAGCACCTGGCTCCTGGCTCCTGCCATCAGATCAGCGCGGTGCGCTGGCCGCAGCACGCTGGCCGCGGCGGCCATTGGAGGGTGAACCAAAGGCAAAGGAAGACCTTTCTCTCTGTCTCTCTCTCTCACTGTCCACTCTGCCTGTCAAAAAATAAATAAATAAATAAAATGCTCATGAATTACAGGTCATCAAAGAAGGAGGTACCTTTCTCTGAAGGGAGGAGAGAACTTCCACTCTAAATATGATCAGAGTCGGCAAACTCAGAAGGCCTCCATAGCCTTGGCAACTCATGACAAGAGCCTAGGGTGATTACTGATGCCATAAACAAGAGTGTCAATTTGTTAAGTCAACAACAGGAGTCACTGTGCACTTACTCCTCATGTAAGATCTCTGTCCTTAATATGCTGTACATCATGATTTAATGCTATAACTAGTACTCAAACAGTATTTTTCACTTTGTGTTTGTGTGTGGGTGCAAACTGTTGAAATCTTTACTTAATATATGCTAAATTGATCCTCTGTATATAAAGAGAATTGAAAATGAATCTTGATGTGAATGGAAGGGGGGAGGGAGAGGGAAAGAGGAGGGTTGTGGGTGGGAGGGAAGTTATGGTGGGGGAAGCCATTGTAATCTATAAGCTGTACTTTGGAAATTTATATTCATTAAATAAAAGTTTAAAAAAATTTTTAAAAAATGTTCATGAATTGAAGGCTATGTGTACACAGTTTTCAAATGGTTTCCTAAGTAAGGCCAATATTCATGGATCAAATTTGTCATTGAAAATATGATCTCCCTGACTTCTCCAAACTTCAAGCTTTAAGAATATTTACAGTACAAATTCCCAACATTTTGGGTGTTTTGACACCCAATTATAGTTTAGTTGAAGAAAATTCAAGAAAGTTTTTGCCAAAGATTTATTACCTACACACAATTAATTCAAATTTGAACTGCCTTAGTCTTCAATGGAAAGCAAATCGAAATATATGGCCAATAACTAGAAATCTGCAGATTTTATTGAGGAATAAAACAGCAATATCTAGTATTTTGCAAATCCTATATTCCAAGCTAATGTACATTATAAATGATCAACCAGATACAGAGGCGTAATTAGCTCATATAATCAATATCATTTATAAAATGCATATTTTACATAAGATTCTTTGACAGTTAGTTCTGAGGGAGTAATTAGATGCTTTGAACATTACAAAGAGGGGGGAGGAAAAGAAAAAAATTTCATTGGAAAAACCACTATACTCACTTCAACTTCTTAAAGAAATGTACCTCCCTTGCTCTGAGTTAAATTAAATCCCTTTGTGTTATCATTTTAGGAAACTATGACTTATAATAAATCTGTTTCCAGTTTGTTTTCTTCCACATGACCACGGATTTTATATAATACAAACTGAGGCCAGATGATTTATGCTTGCATTTATTTGAGATTGATATAATTAAGGGCACACATATATATCTCTATAGATGTTTACAGAGATACATCAATAATGGTGTTGTGCCTGGAAGTCCTGGTGGATATTCTTTAATCCACCTGCACCGCACTGTAGATTGTCGTGACAAAAAAGAAGCAGGAAAAAAATCCGATTGTTCCTGAAACAAAATGAAAGAAGATCTTTGTTAACCAGACATCATAGCAAATCAGGAGACCCTTCTCAAAAACAAAGCAAAACACAAAGCCTGTCAATTTTGAGATAGGCTACAAATTATCCAAACCTCCAGACTTATATATCATCAAATAAAGCTGTCTTGCTGAGCAAACAGGATGAGCAGCTGGGCCAGAGGTAGCCTCTTGCAAATGGGTACAAGAGACCATCTGATTGACTCATACAGGTCTCTAACTGAAGCAAAAAATAATAAATAAATAAAAAGTTTTAAAAAGTAGCTTCAGTTTTCCATTTCAAAAAGCATACCAAGGCTAGTTTCTGATACAATCGACTCCTTATAACTCACTTCAATTTAGAAAACATAAATATTATTATTGTATGTGGCAAAATGGAGACTAATCTGTTTATTTGCATATCTTGAGCCTCTATTAGTTTTCAAAATCAAAGTTTTGTATTATTAAACTTGAAAAACTTTCCTTTTCAGGGGATTTATCCTAAATAAATAACCTCATAGAAGAAAAAATATATGCATAAGGTGATCATAATACTATGATTTATAATATTGAAGAATTACAAACTAAATGCCCCCCAAAATAAACAAATAGCTTAACAATGGCCTAAGTACTCAATGAAGTGGTATAGACACCAAAAATTATAAATACAAAGAATATGTAGCAGCATGGTATTAGGCATTAAGCAAAAATACCAGAGTTCCAATGACTTGCAGGCATCACACAATGTGAATGTTACATAAACATAAACATGTGGATTAGATAGAGCACAGCACATACAAAAGAAGATACCTTTAAATTTTAGCATGATATAATTAGGGTAAATTGTTCTTTAAGGCATGATTTCATTGATTTTCAGAATATGAGAGTAATTTTTAGATGATGTTAAGGTTCAATTACTTAATCAAAGAATCTCTGATATGATTTCCAGATTCTATAGTCTAATAGGGTACCCCAAGACAATTCATCCAGGAAAAATTTTATTCAAAAAAATTCACAAAGTTTTAGGCAGGATTTGGAAACTTTTTGTTGCCACCCTCCAAACTTAAAATAACTTTCCACTCACTATATCATCATACCACCACCTTCTACCCTTCACAGTTCTTTGTCAGTAATCACTAGGGTATAGTGACTAAAACCATGAATTCAAAGTGACACAAATCTACTCTGTTGTTTACCAGATGCCTGACCTTGGGCAAATGATAATCTTGCCAAGCCTCAGTTTTCTCAGCTGAAAATGAGGATCACACCTGTCCTACTCGTAGGCATCCTTCCCTGAATCCAACAACTTCAAAGGTTCAGGAGACAAAAGATGTAAGCTAAAACATCCCTAGCTTCAATTTGTTGCCTCTTTTCCCTGTAAATCAGTGAAATGTCTATAAAGTTTCAACTTTTCAGTGTTTTACCTACAATACACAATTGCCTCCTTCCTGAAACACAAAAATCCATCAACTCTCACACTGCTCTGATAGTCAGCTGAGTTAAAGAATCTGCCCTTTGGAGTCCAGCAATCTATCTACTTTCTCTGTTCCTCAAATGTGAAAAGAAATCATAATCTTACCCCACTAATACTTTGCTGAAAGAAAAAGGATACGATGCACTAGGCTGCTTGTTGGAGTAAGCACTCAAGAGATGATCACTATCACTGATGGCCTGAGGTGTTGGTGCTTGGAATAAATGGTCACATGGGGTTTATCTGATGAGTGCAGCAGTCCTCAACATCAAGTACATGTTGGAATCTCCTGAGGAGATTTAATCAAGACTATTGCTTGGGTCACACCCCCAGAGATTGTAATCTAATTGATCTAGGATGCAGTCCAAGCAGCAAGATTTTGGAAAGCTATCAGTGAATTTTAACAAGCAGCCAGGGTTCAGAACCTCACTGGAACAGTTTGTCTCTTTCTCCTTCCTTCCCTTACTACCTTCCACCTTTCCCTTCTTTCTCCCTTCCTTTGTAAACAAAGGCAAGTAATCAATGAAGAGAGATGGGGAAATTGCTCTTCTAAGGATCACTGAAACACACAAGTTAAATGCAACTTAAAGGGTCTGGAGAAATCAAACTATTTTTTCTATAGCCCAATTGCCTATATCACAACTTGGAGATACAAAAAGTGAGAAGGGAAAAACAGGGGGGAAATTATCTCCTTGATGTCTTCAGTTACTTTTGCCTCAGGTCAGAGAAAGCACTAAATCAATACTAGAAATGCCCTAATTTCTTCCTAAGCTTCATAATCTTTTCCCATTGGGTCAGGTGATACATACTCAAAAAACAGCCCAACCACAGGACCTTGAATGAGGTAGTCCAAGACAAACAGAGAAGCCTATTTCCCTCCCTGCACCCCCATTCCTTTCCTTAGTTGCAACCCTACAATATGAAGAATTCACGCTCTGATTCTGGTACTGGCACACAATGCAATTTTTTCTAAAGCTTTCCCAATGTGTTTATATATATATATATATATATAT